GTAACCTATATAGGATCGGGTGAGAGGCTGTATGTGAATCAACGTGAAGATCAAAGTGCAACAGTGTCAGAAAAAAAAAAAACTTAACGATTAAGTTTACATTATCTTTACATCCCACTTTGTTATCTAGGGTGGAATCGGTGGATGTTTTACTCATGTAGCATGACTCATTTTATGAGAAGAGACAAGCCATTGTTTTCCCTCAGAGTTGCTGCACAGGGAAGCTGATTGACTAGCCATCACAAATGGGAGGGCTCAGAAATTCACTTGCGGAGGACAGTAAACTCAGCCCGAGTGGTGATGTTTACTTGTCACCAAAGTCTCAATCGACACAAAAAGCCACCAGAATCATTGCTAGTCACTTGACGTGATTATTGGAGCTAAATACGGGCGAATACAGTCAGAGTATGTTTTCAAGTCAGCAGAGGAAATGGGGTATTTTACATCCAGAACTTTCGTATTAAAACCCTTTCATGTGCTTGAATGGGACTAAAATAAAACAAAACACCATTCTATTCATATTCAATTATTGTAAATATGGCATTTTTTGCTCAATTTTTTATTGGTTAATACACCCCCCCTACACACAAAAAAATTAGTTGTGAAATGAAAAAACTTTAATAAAGGAGTTCAATGAATAGTTTTAAACAGCACTGTATATCAAGCCTAATAAACTCAGAAAAGTTCATAATTTATACTGACAATAATCCAAAATTGCCAAATAACAGAAAACGTCTCTAATTTTAAATGAATTTTTCCACTATGATGAAATCAAACTGGCCCATGCCTTGATGTAAGAAATGGTTATTCTCTTTTAACCAAAACTCCAGAACGATCATTACCCAACAAACGGACACAGACATGTTGGCTTCATACTGACCGTATTGTTTTCAACATCCTCTGTGGTGTTCGCCATGTCGGCTCAGCAATCACTTCCCCCTCACATGCAAACAAACCTCTTTCACCTTGATGCAAAAGAAGAAGAAACACGGCATTAGAAAATCTGTATTAAAAAAACAAAAAACATTTCAGTAATAAACGTTGAATCACAGACTGCAAGGATAAAGGAGACCATGTGTTATGAGACAAATATTCCTATGGACTCCAGCAGGGCTGTTTGGCAGCTTATGTAATCTATGATGAATTTACTGTAAGGCTTTTTATATGTTTTCCCACGGGTGTTAATCATTATAGGCCTCTACATGTCATAAACTCTTTTCATGTTCAGGTTATTCATGAAAAACATAAATAATGTTGACCATTGAAATATGTCTTCATCCACTTGGATTTCAGTGGAAAAAAAAAAGAAAAATAGGAAATACTTTACTGCGACATTCAAAGGCTCATGTAATAATATTAATTATTGTAAAAAAATAAATAAAATAAAAAAACAATCAAAAACATAAGTAGCTTTATCTGTTCCAGAGTACGTTCTTACATAAACTCCAAAAAAGGGTTTTCATGTTGTAACAAGTTCAGAGGTGTGAACAGGACGTGACAAAGACTTCCTTCAACATTTTTTAGACCAATTACACAAAAGAAATAAAGACTCTTCACATGGCTGCATATTAGAAGGAAACACGATATTATGAATATTGAAACTAAATTTATATATAGTATAGCAGCAATCATGACTAAAACTAAAGAAAAAATGGTTGATTCATTACAGAATCCATTTTATTTTCCTTTTATAGTTACGGTTTTGAAATTTTCCTTTGAATTACCTTTCTCCATTCTTTAGGAAAATTAATTGAATGCTGTTTTATGCTATTATATTTTTATTGCATTATAATTATCAACATGCTTCATTGCCTTGCCACAATAAGAGGTACTTTAAATGATTCAAAAACATTTAGTGATATTAATAAAGCTTTATAAAGCTTTATTAATATCACGGATGGTAACAATGAGATGTACAGACACTAGGAACTATAACAGGCAGATCTTTTTGTCAGAACATAGATGGCATGGAGCACCTATTTGTCTTGTATAACATCACAAGGTTAGGCAAACGACAAGATGTACATTTGACAATCGCTTTTAGTGGATTCTTTCAAGTTTAGGGTCTGCAATCTTTAAGATCCAAAGACCTATTTCTCCCCTAGTCCAGCCAAATAAAAGCCAAAAATGTACATGACCCTTTTATAAAACACATCTTGTTGTCTTAGTTAAAGGGGTCATAGAATAATTCTATAGGGTATTTGGCGATGGTCCTTCAGGTCTCTGAATAGGGTGTGTAACATTGGTTGGGCTGAAAATGGCATATTTGCTGTTTTATGCGCCCTAATGCAAGCCTGATTAAAAGCCCTAGAATGAAACGACAAATTTTCTTCCTTTTATGGTATGCTCATAAATATTTAGATGAGTTGTGCGATGATTGGTTGGTTTACAACGAGCGAAGCGGCTGAGCTAAGACACATCATAGCAACAAGCCTTCACTCACTGAAACATCGAAATTGTTGATATGGTAGGGTGACCAGACGTGCTCTTTTTCCCCAGACGTGTCCTACTTTTCATACCCCCCCCAAAAAAAAAATGTCAAGTGGGAATTTCAAAATCTTACGGGATTTTGGTCGACTAGTGCAACCCAAATTTTGGGGTGTAACAAAAGTACAGGCCAGAACCATGTACGGCAACATCCCCGAATTGACGTCTTCATCTATGGCAATGTAAATTTGGTTTTGCGTTCTATGACCCCTTTAAATATCTGTGATAGGAGGTCTGTTGCCATTTATGCATTTTTTTGGTTTTAAAATGAGGACAAAAATAAAACCCATGGATTTTCTTTTATAGGATGTTAATAGCAATGAATATTTTTTTAAACATTATTGGTTATTTTATTGTAGTTCTTTTAGAGAAATTAAATCCAGAAATCCTTCGAAAAACTGCTGAACATTCAAACACAGGCGAATGTTATATCATTGTTAAAAAAAATTGTTGGCTTATTAAAATGTTTTGCCACTTTTAGAGGCAGTTATTGTTGGTTCAAAGAGTCACTTGTGGCTGCAGAGATGCAGGTTGCAGACCCTGGCTGTAGATACTCCAAAGTCTTTGATGCCCCTTATGTTCTCTTCAGATGACAGGTAATCTATAGATTAGATCATAAAACTGCTAAACAACCCATTTTCTTCACAGCGCTCACCAGATTGGTGTTTAATTTGGGATGCGTGAAAGAGAAAAAAATTAGCTCTAAGGTAGCAAACATCCCCCATCAACCTTGACAGTGAGCATTAGATAATTTTCTATCCATTGATTTTCCAAAGCTCCATAAGCCTCTCATCTAACCGAAGCACACAGTTCAATCAAAGTAGAGTTTTGCTGTTCAGTTTGAGAAGAAAGAGTTTTCATCTGGTTTCTTTACAAAAAATAAGTTCACATAGATATCCTCTGTTCATTATAAGTGGTGGACAGATGAGGTTTTGCCACATCCTATAATCCTATCTATATAATCAATGAATTTCAAGCAACAAAGGAGAAAGCTTAAATAACATTTACTCTAATGGGATTTTTAGAGGTACTAATAATTATTTGACAAATTATTATGTACGAAAACAACTGACCAAACATTTATACATTACAGGTTAGAATTAAAAGGACTTATGATGATTATGTGATCCAAGATATTTCCATTTTCTGTTTTAATATATATTTACTACAACATTTTTAAGCATCTACATGTTCGTCTACAACTCCTCATTAAACTCTTTAGAAGATTAACACATTAGGATATTAAAAATTGCACGATTTCCATTAATTGCAAGAGTGCTGCTTTATAATCCCCCAAAAAACACACCAAATTAATATTTGCTGAGCAGCTACGAAAAATAACGGGTTCCTACCAACGGTTCATGTCAAACTGAGCGACATTAGCTAGCGTTCAGTGTAATGCTGTGTTAATGCTATGGGTATGCTATTATTAAGGAAAAGGCTACAACGGCTAGTTAATGTTAGCCAGTTTTATTTTAACGGCACAGCGGAGCTAACCGGCTAACACTAGGTAACCCCCACAGGTCAGATTTTATACGGCTTTTTGAAATACTCCGTGAGGAACAGTGCTTACCGACAACAAAGGCAGTGTACTTTCCCCCAAAATTCTATTAAAGCAGGTTTAAAAACCGGGCACCCACTCCTCCTCCTCTTTGTTGTTCCTGCGTTTCCTCACAGAATCTCCGACGGCTTCCTGTTCAAGTCGATTCAGCTCCTGTCTAGTCCTGTCGCGAGAAAGTGGCGGAGCTCCGGTGCTAACCGGAAGTAGCTCCACTGATAGGCGGAAGTAGCTCCACTTTTAGGCGGAAGCAGCTCCACTTTTAGGCGGAAGCATTGACTGTTAGTAATTTTTTTTCTTTTTTATCAAAATATTGAGCATTTATACAAAATCGTAAGGCATGTAATCAACAAAGAAAAAAAAAACATTTGTACGTGTAAGATGCACAGATGATATTATAAGACAAAGCTATTCATAATGGTGCATCAGATGTGAAAATTGGTGAAAAACCAATAATCCATTCAATTCAGTTTATTAATATAGCACCAATTCACAACACATGTCATCTCAAGGCACTTTACAGTTTACCAGATCAAACAGTCAGATTGATTCAAAGTTTTCTACCTAAGGATTGCATTGACTCATTGACTCAAATGCAATCCCTCACACTAAGCATGCTTGTAGCGACAGTGGAGAGGAAAAACTCCCGTTTAACAGGAAGAAACCTCCAGCAGAACCAGGCTCAGTGTGAGCGGCCATCTGCCGAGGCCGGCTTGGGTTCAAGAAGACAAAAGCAGACATACCAAAAGCAGCTGTAACAGGAAACACACAGAAAGGCAGACGAGCTCCGAGCCAGCTCCCATGTCAGAGGATGAAGAGAGAACATCCAGCCAGTCACAGTCGGAGAACCAGGACTACACTGGAAAACAGTCCGATCTACAACATCTATAAACAAGGGTGTTGATGGCAACAGCACAGCTGATATTTCTTTCCAGGATAGTGTCACAGCCAAAGAGGAAGAGGTGAGCCAAAGCTACTATGAGAAAAAGCAGAGAGAGCAGAATGTTAGAGATTGAACAGATTCTGCAGACTGGAGAATAGAGATAGAATTAAGCAGATTCATGAAATAGGTCCTCCTTACAGGTCCTCCAGAAATCTAAGCCAATAGCAGCATAACTATAGAGATAGCTCAGGAAGGTGATTGAAGGTAAAACATGGGAAGTAACTGGTTACATCTAGTCAGATTTACTTAAGTACTCAAAATTGTGGTTTTCCCACTTGTCTGGGACCAGGTTGTGGAGATGACCTTTTTTGCCCAGCTCTCTTTTCACCACAACAGATTGATGCAGCGACCACATTATAGGGGCAAGCACACCAAACTACCTATCAATCTCACATTCCAATCTTCCCTGATTTGTGAACAGGACCTCAAGATATTAAAATTCCTCCACTTGAGGCGGGAACTCTTCTCCAGCCTGAAGGGGAAAAGTCACCTTTTTCTGTCTGTGAACCGTGACCTCAGGTTTGGAGGAGCTGATATTCTTCCCTACCACAAATAAATAACCAACAGGGAAACCACTGTTGGTTTCATAAGTTTTATGTTAAAAAATAATGGATTTGGAAAAGTGTTTTTCTGCATAAATTTGCTAAGTCTTAATCTTATTATTTATTTATAGTTTGTTTTTATTTTAGTCTGTAAGATACTCACACTAAACATCTGTTTGATTGGATGATTTCCTACCCATTATATATCAGATAATATCAGATAATTACTCAGCGCTTTAGTAGCGCTGCGTAATTGTCTGCTCCTTATTTTTATTTGAGTAAAAATAAGATGTATTAGGGCCAGGCTAGAGATTTTTTTTTTTTTTTTTATTACGAGTATAAAGTCGTAACATTATATTATTACAACTTTATTCTTGTATGTTTTTTCTTAAAATGCCTAAAAAAAAGGTTAAAACAGAGTATTATGAAATATGTTATGAAAGTACATTTTCCGTGGATCCATCTTTTCAAGTTTTTTTCAGATTTTCTTATTTATATATATTTATTTATTTATATTTCACTTTACTAAGTTTTTTTCATATTTTTTTCTTTTTTCTTTTCTTTTCATATTTATTTATTTTAATTATTATTATTATTATTATTATTATTATTATTATTATTATTATTATTATTATTATTAACTTCGTTTTTCTCAGATTTTGCTTTCCTCTCATTTCCGTCCACCCGTGGAGCTGTTTCCGCCACCCACTGGAGCTCCACTAAATTCTCTCATTTCCGGTACGTCATTCTTCTTCCGGTGATAGAGGGCAGCTCGCTTTAACGCAACAACTATCCCTAAAATCGACGAAATCCAACAAAACTATGGTATGTTTTAGCATCTGGTGTATAATTAAGATCGCGGATTATACTTTTCTTCGAGGTTTAAAGGATGGGCGTTGCGTCAAATTGATGGTCTTTTTAAAACAACGTCCGGTAGATTCAGTAGCTAATGTTAGCATGACGTTTTTGCAGCACATTTAATTGGTGCAAATAGAAATATCACCAACATTTCTTCTTCCTTTTTAGCGCAAACTAATCTCTAACAACATAATTTGATGATTATCTGTTGTTTTAGACTTGGCAAATTTTAAACATTTGAGTAGCATTTCCTCCGACAGAAAAGACTGTAGATTTTCATTTGAAATGTGAAAATCTAGAAGTAAAACAAAAAATAATTTAGATTGCTTGAATTAAAATATTAATAACCACGTAATGTTAAATAATGTTGCCCCTTTGATATATAATTGTGTTTTATTCCCCCTTACAACCCAAAGTTTATGTGATCAGTCATATTTTTTTAAAGTATAGGAATTAAATGTAATTCTTAATCAGATTTAAAATACTTAATTTGACTAATTCAGTTGGTAGTTTACAGTACTTGTGTAAGTTTGCAAAAACTTGAACTTGTTTATATCTGGTCTTGTTTAAAGGAGAAATTTCAGGTGATTGTATTTAGGGCTGAAATAATTAATCTTATTAATGGATTATTGAAATAATCCCCAACTAATTTAGCAATCTATTAATCAATAACCAGAGTAGAGATACTCTAAAACATGCTTATAACTCTAAAAAAACAGTAGTGATTATCAACGGCTGCAACTAAAAAGTTAGACAGGTTTATTCACATATAACTTTTTTTTTTTCAGTCTCACACCATCCTGCTGGTTCAGCCCACAAAGAGGCCAGAGGGTCGGACATACGCCGATTACGAATCAGTCAACGAATGTATGGAAGGTGAGCTGGTCAGGATAAGCCCCTACAACCATCTTCTTACAGATTTCTTCTGACTTTTTTTTTGTTTGTTTTTTTCACTTAAATGTTTCAGATAATCAGACTTGTAATTAGGGGTGTTCTAATCCTATATTAATATCAGATATTAGCCAGAAAACTAATATCTGATTATCTCGGCCGGCATCTAAAATCTCCAATATTGTTATGCTGATAGAACAGACAATAGTCAGGTGTTCTCATACCTTTTGTTGTTGACTATGGTTCTCTCTTTTTGTAATATCACATGATCAAGCCTTTTCTGAAATTCTACAGTTCAAAATTATTAATAAAATTATTTGATTCATAGTAATCTTGGTATCGTTCCAGAAATGAAGCTGTAACTGGACAACCAAACTAATTGGGACATCAAAGATAATCTGAGTTCATATAAAAAAGTATAAAGATTTGTCAAAATCCTGTTTATAAAGTAGGGTTGTCATGATGCTATTATGTCAATCTGCAATATCATTTCCAATGAAAACATGTCCTGATTTTTAAACGTTTAGTTTAAAACTTGTATGAAGAAGAAGCATAATGAGAAAAAGGGACACTTTTTACTAAGGAAAATAATATCTTTTAATAACTCAGGTGTGTTGATTAATAAAGAGGAAGAGATGTAAACAATCAGACATGTTCTTAAACAGCTCTATAAAAGTATATGTAGTTGTTGTACGATGGCAGCCTTGGTGTTAATGGAGGAATTCAGAGGGAGGGTTTCCTCTGAGATCCTGCCATATGATGATGATGATGATGATGACTGGCTTACTAGCCGGTTTGGATTGTCCAGAGAAATCATCTCATCTGGAAACCCACCTGCTTTCCAGTTGTTTAGTGATGCATTCATCCCTGATCTGTGACACCCTGGCTATATTGAATGGTCTAATCCATGTGTTGCTCAGGTGTGTAGAATTCCCATAAGTTTTGCCTGAAACATGAAAACTGCGATTAGAAGCCAAGACCGGATGCTCAAAAGGGATCAGAGCTACGGCTTATAAATGGGTGAAAACAAACTATGTTTTTCTGTGGCCTAGTACAAGTCTGGGCTTAAAACTGATTAAGGATACTGTGGAATAAAATTATAGCATGACCTTCATGCTCAAACGTCTGAGTTCTCCTTCCTGAACACCAGTACTAATGAGCAAAAGCAGATGGTTGAAAAATGACGGCCATCATGGATTGATGTGGTTTTTGGTCCATCCCTACGTTTTTACTCATTCTGTCAGAATCTGGGATCAAAACACTAATAAGGCAAATCTTCATTCAGAAAGTATTGCTTCAGCCGTCTAATCCAGAGTATTTTTGTTTCCTTTAGGGGTTTGTAAGATGTATGAAGAACATTTAAAGAGAATGAACCCCAACAGTCCATCAATAACGTATGACATCAGCCAGCTGTTTGACTTCATCGACGACCTTGCTGACCTCAGCTGTTTGGTGTAAGTTCAGCTACAGAAAATCCACAATGACGATGCTTTTTAATTTGTTATTGCCTTAATTATCATTCGTTTTTATCTTAACACTTTGACAATTGATTTACAAAAAAAAAACTTCACTCCCCTTGAACTTCACTATATGTTCTCTTCAAAGCCACAAACATAATGTAAATACCTCTGACTTAAATGTGATGTTTTGACACAAAGTAGTGTGTGCTTGGAAATTGAACGATGCATGGTTTGTCTATTGTTTTGCAAACAAAAATCAGATTTACATAAATCCAGCTGTTCTGTGGAGGCCTCAAAGGTTTCTTAGAGAACATTAGTAAAGAAAGTGCCTTGATGAAAACCAAGGAACACAGCAGGTGAGGTATTATAAAAGCACCAGAATTGGCTGTATTGGAGCTGACTGAAATAATGTGTTCCAAAGGAAAACCAAGCACCATCAGATTTTCTCAAGAACCGTGCATTCAGGCTTCATAGAAT